TTAAACTAAAATACAATAAGGCAAAACATCATAATTACTTGAGAAATGTAACTACAGAACAGCTTTGAATAAATAAAAGTGCAAACTTGAGGTGTCTTTCTGACAAAACTGGGAAATTGTTTTATTTTATCACTTTATCTGTCCAGCCACATTATCGACTGTATCGATCTTTGGAAGCCGATGTCCGATACAACACATTTTTCAGTATTTTTCAATATCAGATCCCTAGTATCATCATCATCATCATCATCATCATCAACTCTAATCCAAGTTGCCCCTTTCCTGGAAACATACTCATGCTGAATTTCCGTTTCTGAAGCCTCGAGGAACGAGCTGAGAGGAGGTAAGGGAGGTAAAGTTGATTATTTTCTAAACTCAGGCGTCCAGCTCAGTTGGCTCAAATGATCATCAACTTTTTTGTGGAAATGAACTAAATCACTAAATCTTTTGAGCTTAAAGTGGCAGAAATGTGCTAAACTAATATTTTTGTTGGTCTGATGTGTGCACTTATTTCAATATAGGCAAAGATTAATGTATAAGTGAGTAAAGTAAGCTTCTTCAGTGGATATGCCTATTTTGAGCCGTGTCCCCTGGCCCAGCAGTTTTACCCAAAACCATTGATTTGTCATGGTTTTATACAAGAAATGCCCCAGATGTGCCTATTTTGGGCCAATTTGATACCCACTAACAGTAAACAAGGGAATGACTTGTCATTTGTTTAGCCACAATACTGAAAAATGTGCTTGAAAATGACCAGAACACAAAAAAATGCACTGGCTGAAGGCTCTTCGATTATATAGTGACTCACAAATGAGTTGTGAAGCAGATGCGAATAAGTCATGAATGAACCGAGTGTAATAAGTGTCTTTTCACAATTTTATTACCAGTGTTGGGGAGTAACAGATTACATGTACCGGAGTTACGTAATCAGAGTACAAATTATGAGTAACTGTATTCGGTTTCAATGAGTGGTAATTGGATTACAGTTACTTTGTTGAAGTAAATGGATTACATGGCGGTATTTTTCTGTTTTCACATTTAGGCTATATCCCTTTTTCTTTTTTTTTTCCCTGGCAATTCCACTCATTATTGCCGGACACTAAATCAGGTCCAAACCAGGTCAAAACCAGGTCTAAACCAGATTTAAACCAGGACTAAACCAGGTCTAAATCAGGTCCAAACCAGGTCCAAAACCAGGTCTAAACCAGATTTAAACCAGGACTAAACCAGGTCTAAATCAGGTCCAAACCAGGTCCAAACCAGGTCTAAAACCAGTTTTAAATCAAAACTAAACCGGGTCTAAACCAGGTCTAAACAGGTCTAAAACCAGGTCTAAACCAGGTCTAAAACAGGATTTAACAGGACTAATCATGCTGCGTGGACATGTCTCCTCGTTTTCTATCAATAATATTTTTAATACGGTAAAGTAAAGTCTGGAATTTTTTATTGTCTTATGTGAAGATCCTCGTCTTTGCTTCTCTACAGCAAATCAAGTAATCCAAAGTATTCAGATTACGTTACTCACTTTAAGTAATTTAATGGATTCAGGTACAAACTACATTTTGGGGATGTAATCTGTAATCTGTAGGGGAATACATTTTAAAAGTAACCTTCCCAACACTGTTTATTACTACCAAGAAAAAAAAAAAAAAAACAAACAAAACAAAAACACTAGGATCATGTAAAGTGAACATGAGTCCCTGCCTCAAGTGCAGGAGTTCAAGTATCTCTGGGTCTTGTTCACAAGTGAGGGGAGGATGGAGTGTGAGATTGACAGGTGGATCGGTGCAGCATCTGCAGTGATGTGGTCGCTGTATCGGAAGTGAAGAGGTTGCTGTGGTGAAGAGGGAGCTGAGTTGAAAGGCAAAGCTCTCGATTTACCGGTCAGTCTTCGTTCCTACTCTCACCTATGGTCATGAGCTCTGGGTAATGACGAAAGGACAAGATCGCGGATACAAGCAGTCGAAATGAGTTTCCTCCGCAGGGTGTCTGGGCGCTCCCTTAGAGATAGGGTGAGGAGCTCAGTCACACGGGAGGAGCTCGGAGTAGAGCCACTGCTCCTTCATGTCAAGAGGAGCAGCTGAGGAGGCATCTGTTCCGGATGCCTCCTGGACGCCTCCCTCGGGAGGTGTTCTGGGCAGGTCCCACCGGGAGGAGGCCCCGGGGAAGACCCAGGACACACTGGAGGGACTATGTCTCTGGGCTGGCCTGGGAACAGCTCGGGGTCCCCCCAGAGGAGGAGTGAAGGAAGTCTGGGAGTCCCTGCTTAGACTGCTGCCCCCGAGACCCAGCAGCAGTTACAGAGAGAGGGCCGACAATATTCCAATGTAAGTCAATGGGAGCCAGAATGAGTTGGAGCCAGAAGAGCCACATGTGAACTTCCTATTTGGAAAGTGGTGGCTAGCGCGTTAGCTATGTTCATTTATCTATACAGTCTATGGTTTATATCATAGACCGTATATATGAGTGGACATAGCTAACGCTCGAGCTGTCAGGTGCCAAATAGGAAGTTCTCCAGGAGGTTCTTCCAGCTCCTTCTGACCCTGGCTTCCGTTAACTTACATTGGGTATCATTAAGAAGTTGCCGATACATTACATAGCTCTATACAGTGCACTTTCGGTTCGATACAATATATTCCAAATTGATTCGATACGGATTCATAAAAAATAATGACTGTGATAATAAAAGTCTTTCTCTTCTCTAAACAAGCAACAAAACTGTAGCGCTGTAACAAAATAATTTAATCAAATATACTAAAAATTACTCCTGCTGATATATCGATACATCAGACCACAATATCGATACTGTATCATCACATTAAACAATACGATATAGATATTTTTGCACACTTTTTTTCCGCTATTTTACTTTACTTTACTTTTACTTTATTTTCGCTCCTGTAACCGTTAACATCACGAGCCTCGTTTAAGTTGACCTCACACTCGTTTAGCCCACTTCTTTTACACAGTCTATGGTTTATATCTTACATTTTGGCCAAGTTTTTTGCTGTGTATTACTGTACAACTTCACCAACACAGTACAGAACTATAAACTAGTCTTTGTCGCCATCTTGTGTTTGACCATGGTCGCATTTTTTAATTTTTTTCATATATACAATGTAATGTACAATGGTATAAACAAAAACAGCTGGAGGCTTAAGAATTCATATGCTCACAGGGGTCAATAAGCACAACATTTTTATTAATAACACATATATGCATCACAGTGTAAATATATTGATGTACAAATGTAGGAAAGCAAATAAATACATTCATATTTCATATTTTAAATTCTGTACAAAGTGCTTTTGTCTTCAAGGCTTTGGGATTTGTGCAATAATTTAGATAATTTATATAAAAGGACAAGAGGGACCGAAACACAACAAATTTGGGTTTCTGACTAGAAAATTTACAGCAATGAATATGAAACTTTGATAGGATTAGGATTAAGTTCAACACATATATTTTTTTGGCAGGAATATCTTTCTCAGAGACAACAAAAAGAACATGTTTTATATTAAATTGTAGGTTTGTATCAAGTTTTCTATTCATTAACAAAAATATGTCATTCCAAAAGATTTGAGTGTATGAGCATTCCCAAAACATATGAGTGACCGTTTCTTCAACGCTGTGACAGAACGAGCAAAGATCATCTATGTTTAAGCGAAATTTTGAGATAACAGCGTTAACAGGGAAACATCTATGTAGGATTTTCTTGTTAGTTACAAAATATTTTCTAGGCAAAAGCCAAACATCATTCCAGTTAATGTCCTAAAATGTATTATTCCAGACAAAAACAGAAGCTGGTTTACGAATAGACTCTCTTGTGATGAGTTTTCTTATACATTTGTTATTTGTTTAAGATCTTAAAAACGGGACAGAGTTACCAATAAACAGCTCTGTTTTAGTTGAGTCATCATTAGAAATATGTACATAAGTGGACATCAGCATTTTCACTCCTGACGGAATGGCGTCAAAAACAACTGCATTTTCTTTTGGCATTACTGTAAAATTGTAAACATTGAGAAATTCCCTGTAGGAATAGTGATGCCTTTGTTGTTAAACAGCTGGTGTACACAGATGACACCATGGTCAACCCATTTTTCTAAGAAAAGAGATGTGTGTTTGAAGCATATATCTTTGTTATTCCATATGTAATATTTTTGTGGTGAGAAGCTGTGCTTTTATACTAAAGTCCAACATAACAGTAGCTGTTTTGGAAGCTTATCAATGCTATAATTACCAGTGTTGGGGAGTAACAGATTACATGTCCCGGAGTTACGTAATCAGAGTACAAAGTATGAGTAACTGTACTCAGTTACAGTTTCAAGGAGTGGTAATTGGATTACATTTACTTTGTTGAAGTAAATAGATTACACGGCAGTATTTTCCTGTTTTCACATTTTGGGCTATTCTTTTTTTTTTTTTCTTCTGTAATTCCACTCATTGCCGAACACTAAACCAGGTCTAAAACCAGGTCTAAAACCAGGTCTAAAACAGGACTAAAGCAGGACTAAACCCAGTTCTAAACCAGGACTAATCCAGGTCTAAACCCAGGTCCAAACCAGGTCTAAACCCAGGTCCAAATCAGGTCAGTGTCTCCTCCTCTTCTACCAGTAATATTTTTCATATGTTTAAGTAAAGTCTGGACTTTTCATTGTTTTTTATCAGACAAAACATCTTATGTGAAGATTTCCTCGTCTTTGCTTCTCTACAGCAAATCAAGTAATCCAAAGTATTCAGATTACATTACTCACTTTAAGTAATTTAATGGATTACGTTACAAACTACATTTTGGGGCATGTAATCTGTAATCTGTAGGGGAATACATTTTAAAAGTCACCTTCCCAAAACTGATAACTACACCTCAGAATAAAATTTAAACCTGTATTCCCGTTGTCCGCCTCTGCGTTAGATTGCGTCACGTCGGCATCCCTCCTGCGTGCGCGTCCCCCCCCCCTTTCCAACCGAATCCTGTGACCTGTGCGTCAGCTGTGAGCCGGACGCGCGCACGCACTCCACTGTACTGTCCACTCTCCACTCAGCGGCTCATTTGTTTTGACTTCCATGTATATCAAAATCCTACTCCCCGAAAAAGCGATAAATTATGCCGACACGCGCTGATCCCGCTTCACCGAACCACCGCGGCTGTTTCACCCGGGAGAAACCTGCTGTATGTTAACTGAGCGATCTCGTTTTGGCATGGGAAAGGTGAACAGGTTTTTCCGGGGGTAAACGCTGCTGCAGAGGCTATGAGCTAACGGCTAACTAGCATCCAGCCGGCTTCTGTGGGCTGCGGATGCTAACGGCGGCTAACGGGCTAACGCGGCTAACGGCGGGGGGACGCAGCGGAGCCACACCGGGATGGGGAGCTGAAAACCGGCCGCTGTCAGTCGCTGTACCCGGGTAGCTTTCCAGCACGGACGCTAGTGATGAGTTAGTGATGAGCACGTTTAATATTTCTAATAGCAAAATAGGTTCTGCCGTGGATCTAAGCGGCACCAATAACAACCAGGACTGGACTTCTCTGGCGGGGGACGTGTACTCGTACTGCCCCGCCGGGATGAGCCCCACGGACGAGACGGTGCAGGCGGGCATGTCCTCGGTGCAGGCGGGGCTGAGCGAGCACCTGCGGGGTCTCGGGTCCAGCGAGGAGCAGCTGCTGTTGGAGCTGGGGTCCCCGCCGGGCTTCCTCCAGCAGGGGGGGTCCCAGGAGTCGAGCGACAGCGAGGGGAACTGCGCCGCGCCGCTGTACGAGGGCAGGAGGAAGAGGTCCCGCTCCAACAGCTCCCGGCACCGGTTTCACGACGTGGTGACGGAGCTGGGGCCCGAGGAGGTGCGCTGGTTCTACAAGGAGGACAAGAAGACGTGGAAGCCCTTCTTAGGACACGACTCTCTCAAGATCGAGCTGGTGTACAGGAAGTACCCCGAGCTCTACTCAAGGACTCCAGACAACCAGGTTAGAGATGTGTCAAGATTTAAAGGTCCCAATGAGTCATGTTCCAGGTCTAATCTAAGGCTCCCCCAGGTCTAAAGGTTCATTTAAAGGCCCTATATGACACAAAATCGACTCCTGTGAGCTTTAAGCCACGTTATAATGTTGTTAAGTCCTCAAAAACATGCCTGGAGTTGTGTTTCATTCACTCATCCTTTATTCTACACCTTTCTACATACGATGAGTCATGTTCCAGGTCTAATCTAAGGCTCCCCCAGGTATAAAGGTTCATTTAAAGGCCCTATATGACACAAAATCGACTCCTGTGAGCTTTAAGCCACGTTATAATGTTGTTAAGTCCTCAAAAACATGCCTGGAGTTGTGTTTCATTCACTCATCCTTTATTCTACACCTTTCTACATACGATGAGTCATGTTCCAGGTCTAATCTAAGGCTCCCCCAGGTATAAAGGTTCATTTAAAGGCCCTATATGACACAAAATCGACTCTTGTGAGCTTTTAGCCACGTTATAATGTTGTTAAGTTCTCAAAAACATGCCTGGAGTTGTGTTTCATTCACTCATCCTTTATTCTATGCCTTTCTACATACGATGAGTCCAGGTCTAATCTAAGGCTCCCTCAGTTCTAAAGGTTCATTTAAAGGCCCTATATGACACAAAATCGACTCTTGTGAGCTTTAAGCCACGTTATAATGTTGTTAAGTCCTCAAAAACATGCCTGGAGTTGTGTTTCATTCACTCATCCTTTATTCTACACCTTTCTACATACGATGAGTCATGTTCCAGGTCTAATCTAAGGCTCCCCCAGGTATAAAGGTTCATTTAAAGGCCCTATATGACACAAAATTGACTCTTGTGAGCTTTTAGCCACGTTATAATGTTGTTAAGTTCTCAAAAACATGCCTGGAGTTGTGTTTCATTCACTCATCCTTTATTCTACACCTTTCTACATACGACGAGTCATGTTCCAGGTCTAATCTAAGGCTCCCCCAGGTCTAAAGGTTCATTTAAAGGCCCTATATGACACAAAATTGACTCTTGTGAGCTGTAAGCCACGTTATAATGTTGTTAAGTCCTCAAAAACATGCCTGGAGTTGTGTTTCATTCACTCATCCTTTATTCTATGCCTTTCTACATACGATGAGTCCAGGTCTAATCTAAGGCTCCCTCAGTTCTAAAGGTTCATTTAAAGGCCCTATATTACACTAAATCGACTCTTGTGAGCTTTAAGCCACGTTATAATGTTGTTAAGTCCTCAAAAACATGCCTGGAGTTGTGTTTCATTCACTCATCCTTCTCATCTCCAAAGCTCAAAATGCTCTGTGATATCATGTACTCATAGTTTTTTAAGTGAACAGCTCCTTTTATCTTTGGTTCAGCAAAGATCGGCAATTCCAGGGCTGAAATCACATTCAGATGATTCTACTGAAGGTGTGTGAAGTTTAAAAACACAGTGGAGCGCTTCCTGTATTACCACATGACATCACAACGTGGAACAGAGTGTAAGAAGAACTCAGCCTAAATATGCAGGGTCAGTGTGTTAAACGTGTGTGAATGAAACAACGTGACAAATGAGGAAACGTTACAACAAAGATATGAAACCAGAGTAAAATCAGACCTTTAATTTCGCTCTAAACAAGAAATGATCCAAAGAAGGACAAAGTGGATGAAACTAACTTTAAATTTGGCAAACCTACAAACTGAAAAGCTGTCCAAGCCCCACCTGAAGGAGCTTGCCAACAACAAAACCTTGGTATTGATTAAAAATGTTCAAGGTGTTGAGGGTGACCAGATGTCCCTATTTACCCGGGACAGTCCAAGTTTTGAGCTCTCTGTCTCCTTTCCCAGTAGATTTATCACGGTTTTATACAAGAAATATCTCAGTTGTCCCTGTTTTTGACCAATCTGACACTTGCCAACAGTAAAAAGGGGAATATATTATAATTTGTTTAGCTAAAATACAGAAAACTGTGCTTGAAAATGACCATAAGGTGAAAAAATGCACCTGCAAAAGTCCCTAAGATTTTATACTGATCCACAAGTAGGGCTGGGTATCATTAAGAATTTGCCAATATGATACGATATATTTCAGATTGTTTCAACAGTTTAATAAAAAAATAATGGCTGTGATACTAAAAGTCTTTGTTAAACCACTTCTTGTGCAAAGTTCATATGAAACACACTTATTTTAATCATCAAAACAGTGAAAATGTCAAATATGCTGCACAAATGAGTTTCCTTCCACTATAAAAGCAACAAAACTGTAGCACTGCAACAAAATAATTTAATAAAATATGCCAAAAAAATACTCTTGGCAAAATATCGATACTGTATCATCACATTAAACAATACTATATTTCCATATTTTTGCACAGCCCTAGTAAAGAAGGGAATATATTGTCATTTGTTTACCTAAAATACGGATACTGTGCTTGAAAATGACCAGAAGTTGACAAAATGCACCAGCAAAAGTCCCTAAGATTTTACACTGACCCACAAGTGAGTCGAGAATGGACAATGTTATGCGCTCTTTTCACTATTTTATTTATGTTTTATTTATTTTATTCAGCATCGCAACCCAGGTGTGTCCCAGTTTTTAATTTGGTCCCCCTCGCCATGTTATAATGTTGTTACCTGGAGTTGTGTTTCATTTCATTTACACATGTTTGAGCTCAAAATGCTCTCTTGTACCTTGTGATGTCATGTAATGGTAGTTTTCGAGATAAAAGCTACCTTTAACCTTTTACTGTCGTTGCAAAACTTCGGTCCAGTCTCTGAGAGTTGTGAAAAGCTCTGATAAACTCATCGTGGTGAATAATTAGGTTGCTCAGAAGCTCCTATATGACACAGAATTGACTCTTGTGAGCTTTAAGACATGTTATAATGTTGTTTCCTCCTCAAAAACGGACCCGAAGTTGTGTTTTGTTTCATTCACACATGCTCGCTCTCTTGAGTAATCCTTTATTATTAGTCTGTCTGCATCTCCAAAGCTCAAAATATTCAGCTCCTTTTACTTTTAACTCAGCTGAGATCGGCAATTCCACAACTGAAATCACTCAAATTATTGTAGTAAAAATGTTATGGCGAGGAGCGCTTCCTGAATTATCACATGACGTCACAAATTGGAACAGAGTTTTTTTTACGTTTGAGAGAAGAACTCAGCCTAAATATGCAGGATTTGTGTGTGAATGAAACAAAACACAACTCCAGGATACATGCTTTATCAAAATGAAAACAAGCACACAATGGTAACATAAAGAAAATGAGGTCTAATTTCTTTATACCAATGGGTCCGGTCAAGCGGTAACGGAGGGAAACGGGCAGATTTTTTACATTCAAATAGCTCTTATTCAGAAACTAGAGGGACTATTGAAATAAGTAAAGTATCAGAATGTAGGAAAGAGTTAACACTCCAACAGGGTAAAGTTAAACCTGTGATATTCTTTCAAGTTGTTGACAAAAAATTTAAAAACTCATGTCAGTAACGGAGGGAATGAAATATGCAGCACTTTTTGGGCAATAAATAACTAGTGATAACTAGCGGTTCTCACTTACATATCCTTAACAAACTGGTTTGAATATTTGCTTCATATAGTTTTCTACCATATGGTACAAGATTACGTTGAAAAACCTCTTACTTTTTGAGTAATGAAATTTTTTATAAAGAAAGGTCATGGTAACGGAGGGAAAAGTAACAGAGGGAAAATTGTGCAAGCAAGTAGAAGGTGCATGATTTTGCATAATTTGTCATCTTTTTTCTTCTGAATACTTTAATATTACTTCAAAATGAAAGGGAACTATTCATCATGTATTCATCATGAAAAATCATGCACCTTCATCAACAGTTCAAAGATGGAATAACACAAGATATGATGAAATACATCAATTTACATGATTTGCAGGTCTTTGAAATTTGGGAAATATTTTTTGTTCCATGTTTCATACATGGTCTGTTTAAAACATATGTAACTTTAGAACCAAAATGATACAGAAAAAAGGTCAACAGTTTCATAAACTAGAGTACATATGTATCTGTTGAATACATTTTTATATCAGATGCATTAACTTGAATTTTTGGCCTTGATGTTTACTTCTGCTTGACCGGGCCCCAATATATAATTTAATTTTTTAGACTACAAGGGGCCACCATAAACTCCTTTATTCATGGAAACACTGGAGGTTATTATTGTTTTCTTTAGAACCATTAGAAATCTGGAAGCAGTGTTCACTTCTTAGTATATAACTTGACACATGGGACAGTTCCAGACCAAACTGACTGAAGACGAGTTTCAAAAAGGAGCATTTTGCAAAGAAAATACTCCTCCATTAAAGTGTCATTATTTACCCATCCTCGTAGCAGCGGATAATGTAATAATGGACAATAATGTAATAATTTTGGCCCAGTTTGAGTGTGAAAAGCTGATATTTTTTGCCACCAGGTCTATAAGAGGCCTACTCAAGGTTTAATCTCGGGCTAAACCTGGTCTAAAAGCGGACTATGTAATTTCCACAGCGGTTATATACAAGAAATTATCCAAAGGGGGACAAAAAAGTGGATGAAAAGAAACCCTAAATCAGGCAAACCCACAGACGGAAAAGCTGTCCAAGATGTTCTCAAGGAGCTTAGAACCGCTGTGATATTTTGTTAGATTATTGACTGGTTATTATGTTTTTGGTCTGACAAGGAAAGTTTTCTCTGGTAATGTTTTAACTGCAGATGTCTTTAGTTATTACATTATGGGCTTATTACATTTAAACTTGGCCAAAATTGTCATGTTTTTGGCTGTTATTACATTATTGACCCTTATTAGGTTATTGGTCGCTACAAGCCTAAAATAAGAGCGCAAACATTTTAAGATAAGGCTACAGTAGTCTGCTTCCTGTTAGAGGTTTCAGAATGATGAAAAACTTTGGGCCATTGCCATAGTTATTAACACAAAATGTGGCACTTAACAGGAACTGAAACCCATTAATAGTTGGTATTTTTAGGACTTTTTACAATTCAAAAGAGACAGTATTTTGTTTTTAATTGCCTATTGGCCTTATTTTCATAATTCTGAAACTCATGGATATTCAGTTTAATGCATAAAGAAAAAGAAAGATTAAATAATAGTGAAGTCAGTGTGAAATAAACAACCAGATAAAACAGCACTTTACATTTAAATATACTTTGCATTATGGAGTAATCACTATTATTGATTAAACAAATAATCTTGACATCCCCAGATTCTTGGTCCTTGGATCTTGAGTCCTTGGATTCTGAGTTCCTGGTCTTGAGTCCTTAGATCTTTAGTCCTTGGATCCTGAGTCCTTGGATCGTGAGTCCTTGGATCCTGAGTTCCTTGGATCCTGAGTTCCTTGGATCCTGAGTTCCTTGGATCCTGAGTTCCTTGGATCCTGAGTTCCTGAGTTCCTTGATTGATCCTGAGTTCCTTGGATCTTGAGTCCTTTGAGTTCCTTGATCCTGAGTTCCTTGATCCTGATCCTTGGATCCTGAGTTCCTTGGATCCTTGGATCCTGAGTTCCTTGGATCCTGAGTTCCTTGGATCCTTGGATCCAGAGTTCCTTGGATCCTGAGTTCCTTGGATCCTGAGTTCCTTGGATCCTGAGTTCCTTGGATCCTGAGTTCCTTGGATCCTGAGTTCCTGGTCTTGAGTCTGGGGTGTTAAAGTTGTATTTGACAAACATGGTAAAATTGGAGAGTTTTAGTGAGTCTACTTTTTTCAATCAGTCAATCAATATCATTTTATTTGTTGCTGAGGGGAAATTGACGCACACTGAGCAGTAAAATACAATAAAAATAGAAAGGTTAAACAAAAGTCTCAGTGCAGCCCAACAGATAGAGTCACCAGCTCCTGTATGAGGGCAGCGTGTGGAGGGTAATGGCCCACAGGACAAAAGTGTCTTTCTTCTTTGTCCTGAAGCTCGGGCATCACAGCTGTGTCCATTTGGAGCTCTGTAAACACAACAGGAAAGCTTCTCTGATTTTATGAATTATGAGGGATTTCACTTTTGTTGTTAATAAGCAAGAACTTGCAACACCTCCAAATCTCTTCCCACCGTAATCACAACACACTTCTCTTCCGCAGGTAAACAATGCAGACGAGGAGTTCTCCGGTAACGGCATGGAGAGCAGGGGGCTGAACGGAGCCAGCCCGGCCGACTCAAAGCCCAGCGCGGTGCAGTCTCCGCGAGAGTCCATAGACGCCTCCGCCCTGTCCCCCAACCACAGGGACCTGGACGGCCTCGCGGTGTCCGTGGAGCCCGTGTGCGTGAGAGGGGGACTCTACGAGGTCGATATCGCCGTCAGAGAATGTTACCCGGTCTACTGGAAACGTGAGTACTGTGCGTTCATATGGTACAGCTCAGTGCCACTGAAGAAAGGTTTGGCTTTCCGAGTACCCTCAGATCTAAATCAAGTGTAACCGGACTATTCCAGGTCTAATCTAGGGCTACACCAGGTCTAAAGGTTACCGTATTTTCCGCACTATAGGGCGCTCTTGGATTATAAGGCGCACTGTCATTAAATGGTCTATTTTTGAACTTTTTTCACAAATAAACCAGACCGGACTATAAGGCGAAATTAAATGAAACACAACAGTTGGATGGGTCAGTGGGACTTTGTTTTTGTTTTGTGGCGTTCACGGTGACTCTGGGCTTTGTTCAGTTGTGGCGTGTAGGGAGGGTGCTGTCTGGGACCGCTGGATTGTCGGCGTGTTCGCAGTGACTCAGTGGTTCAGTCGTGTCTAGAAGTGGCACATTGCACTCGCTTTTTTCTCCGTTCCGTTCCTCGTCGGCGTGGAGTGATGAGTGTGGCTGTGGGTGTTTTTCGCTGCACGGTCGCTGTCTGCTCTGCGTGTTTGCGTGCGCTGCGGGTGGTGCGGCCTTGTAGTTTACTGAAGTCGTGCTGGGACGCCCGAGTGGATTCGTGTATAGGGCGCTCTGCATTGTGGGGCGCACAGTCGTTTTTTTGATGAGGTTGGAGGCTTAAGAGCGCGTGTAATAGCCCGGAAAATACGGTAGTTTAAAGACCCTATATTACACAAACTCAACTTTTGTGAGCTTTAAGCCGTGTTATAATGTTGTTACCTCCTCAAAAACAAACATGGAGTTGTGTTTCATTCACACATGTTTGAGTAATCCTTTATTCTACATCTTTTTACACCTCCAAAGCTCAAAATGCTCTGTTCTACCTTGTGATGTTGTGAAGTAGTAGTTTTTAAGATACCTTTTACCTTTAATTCAGCAAAGATCGGCAATTCCAGGGCTGAAATCATCCAGATGATTCTAGTGAAGGTGTGCAGAGTTTAAAAACACAATGGAGCACTTTCTGTATTACCACATGACATCACAATGTGGAACAGAGTGTTTTCCGTTCGAGAGAAGAAGGGTCTGCGTGTTAAACGTGTGTGAATGAAACAACATGACAAATGGGGAAACGTTAAAACACAGATCAGAAAACGGCGTCATATAAGACCTTTACGTTCGTTCTAAACAAGAAATGATCCTAAGAAGGACAACGTGAATAAAACTAACTTTAAATTTGGCAAACCCACAAACTGAAGAGCTGTCCAAGCCCCACCTGAAGGAGCATGCCAACACCAAAACCCTGGTATTGATTAAAAATGAAAGTTGTTTACAATGCTACTGCGCCGTGTAGTTGGTCTCTAATTCTTAACGGATGCATATAAAACTTGAATTTCCCTCGAGGTCAATAAAGTCTCCCTCTCTCCATCTCTGCCATGCATTTTTGTGGCTTTAATTCCCTTTAAACATGCTTTTGGTCACCACGGGATACGTATTTCACATTTTCTCAACTACGCCACCTCCATTTCCAGCGAGTTATTTACTATTTAGGCGTTTTGCCGTCTGCAGCGGGGATGAAAAAGTGAGAAAACAAACAAATGTAGCGAAGTGAACGCCATCCTAATAGAGCCATGGATTTGTTGTGAACACATTTTGACCGCACGATGAGTCCGGCGATGGTTTATGGACTTTCAAACTCAGCAGGAGAAGTCTTGATTTTTACCTGTGACGTAACAATCCTGGCAAAATGCAAACCATATCATATTTAAATGCTCAGAGAAGAAGATATTTGATTCATGGATTAATCAAACAAATGTGAATGAAGTAAAATACAACTCCAGGTATGTATTTAGATTTATTAAAGATGAGTGAGCAGCGGAAAGAAACTAAATATCCTCAGCAAACTATAAAATATCTTGAATAAAAGCGACTGTCCCTGTCCGAAATCCCTCTACAAACATGTGATTCTCCGGTTAAATAAGCAGGTCAGATTTCACTCTTTGCTCAGATGTCAATGTCAAATGGAAAAACTAAATAAATAAATAGTAAACTGCTAAAAAAAAAAAAAAAAAGGTTATAAAGTGAAATTTCTGCACTCTTGTAAGTAGGGCTGGGTATCATTCAGAAGTTGACGATACGATACATATTTCGATACAATGAGCTTTCGATTTGACACGATTCAGTACGATATATTTCAAGTCGATTCGATACAGTTGAATAAAAAATAAAGGTTAAATCATGGCTGTGACATTAAAAGTCTTTATTAAACCACTTCTTGTGCAAAGTGAATATGAAAAACACCCATTTTTACTCATCAAAACAGTAAAAATGTCAAATAAATGAGTTTCTTTCCTCTGAACAAACAACAAAACTATAGCTGTAACAAAATAATTTAGTAAAATAAACCAAAAAAATACTCTTGGCGACATATCAATACAGCAGCCCATGATGTCGATACTGTATCATCACATTAAACAATATGATATATCGATATTTCAATATTTTTGTGAAATTTTTACAGTCCTTTTGTATTTGTCTGATACTTAGCTCCAATTTTTTAAAGACTAACATATTTCTGTTGGATTTACAAAATATTATCTGAATATTATCATCAAAATGCGACAAAAAAATTTTTGTTTTGAGTTTTTTTGTCAATATTGCCCGCCCATGTTTCACAATGTAGTTTTCAAGCTATAAAGTAAATAACTAAATAAAAGAAAAGAAAAGAAAAGAAAAAAAGATTAAATTAAATAATAGTGAAGTCAATGTGAAATAAACAACCAGATAAAACAGCACTTTACATTTAAATATACTTTGCATTATGGAGTAATCACTATTATTGATTAAACAAATAATCTTGACATTTCTAGACTCTTGGTCCTTGGATCTTGAGCCCTTGGATCCCGAGTTCCTGGTCTTGATTTCTTGGATCCCGAGTTCCTGGTCTTGAGTCCTTGGATCCCGAGTTCCTGGTCTTGAATCCTTGGATCCCGAGTTCCTGGTCTTGAGTCCTTGGATCCCGAGTTCCTGATCTTGAGTCCTTGGATCCCGAGTTCCTGGTCTTGAGTCCTTGGATCCCGAGTTCCCGGTCTTGAGTCCTTGGATCCCGAGTTCCCGGTCTTGAGTCCTTGGATCCCGAGTTCCCGGTCTTGATTTCTTGGATCCCGAGTTCCCGGTCTTGATTTCTTGGATCCCGAGTTCCCGGTCTTGAGTCCTTGGATCCCGAGTTCCCGGTCTTGAGTCCTTGGATCCCGAGTTCCCGGTCTTGAGTCCTTGGATCCCGAGTTCCCGGTCTTGAGTCCTTGGATCCCGAGTTCCCGGTCTTGAGTCCTTGGATCCCGAGTTCCCGGTCTTGAGTCCTTGGATCCCGAGTTCCTGGTCTTGAGTCCTTGGATCCCGAGTTCCTGGTCTTGAGTCCTTGGATCCCGAGTTCCTGGTCTTGAGTCCTTGGATCCTGAGTCCTTGGATCCTGAGTCCCTGGTCTTGAGTCCTTTGGATTTTGAGTCCTTGGATCGTGAGTCCTTGCATTTTGAGTCCTTGGATCTTGAGTCCTTGGATCCTCAGTTCCTGGTCTTGAGTCCTTGCATTTTGAGTCCTTGGATCCTGAGTTCCTGGTCTTGAGTCCTTGGATCTTGAGTACTTGGATCCTGAGTCCTTGGTTCCTGAGTTCCTGGTCTTGAGTCCTTTGGATTTTGAGTCCTTGCATTTTGAGTCCTTGGATCTTGAGTCCTTGGATCCTCAGTTCCTGGTCTTGAGTCCTTGGATCTTGAGTACTTGGATCCTGAGTTCCTGGTCTTGAGTCTTTGAATCCCGAGCCCTTGGATCCCGAGCCCTTGGATCCCGAGCCCTTGGATCTTGAGTCCTAAAAAAAATACTAAGAAAGAAAAGAGAAATGACAGAAATTATTAAAACATAAAAAAAAAATAATAATAAAAAAATCGCCACCATTATTTTTTGTAATTTCTTCTTTTTTTTTGGTATAAATGAATTAAAGGAAGGATGCATGTTATTACTGATTTATATTGTTGTATGTTTTTTATTAGATTTATTTATTTGATTTAGTTACTCTGCAATTTTGAGTCTCAGATCCACTTCCTCCGTCTTTTACCCGCTTCCCTAAAATGACATTCCCGTGACGTCTCGTGGCCTCTTATCGACACGCATCGATCGGTATCTTGCCTTAAATGCGTTCCGTGCTCTTAGCTCCGGCCGGCCCCTCTCCTCTCCCTGACCGGCGGTTTGGGAGCCGGCCATCACCGGGTCCATTCAGCCGGCCTCAGCTGATCCGCGCTAACTAATTCATGGCTCTTTCCAGGAAGAGCCCAGGGAACAAATGGATTGAGTCGCCATAGTGACCCGCGTGAAAAGGGTTTGGAAGGTTAATGCCGGGTGACAAGCGGAGAACAGAGAAGACCAGGTTTTCAACGTTACCTCAGGAACAAGGATAAGAAAAGGCTTTGCTATCATTTTTTCATTTTTATTTTTTCTACAAAGATAAATGAATACAAGTTATACAACGAATACCAAACAATAAAAATCGATAGGACTGCGGGAGATAAAAGTAACACCAGGGGAGGGGTAGGTAGGGCCAGCCAAAGGTCACACATAACCAAAAGTCATGTCCGCAAATAAAAATTCATAAATGCAATTGCTTAAGATTTTTTTTTAAGATTGAAATTGGAGAACAAGTAGATGGTTTTTAATACTGGATTTCAGAAGGGAAGATGGGAAAGTAGGGTTTACGATGAATGAATTTACATTTATGGATGTGAAATTTTGATAATTTGGATAAGAAAGGAAATTTAAGACATTAAAGATAGAATAATGTTTACTTTTCTTGTGATGTACTAAAAAAAAAAACAACAGCAGTAAGTAAAGTTGTGTACATGTTTGACAAATTCTTTCCAAAAAAAACACAGTCTGGGCAGGTTCTTTGTTATTTTTAGAGTTTTTCAGATTCTACAACGTGATGATGCCAAAACAAGACTGTCCTATTGATTTACATTGTGCTTTTGTAAGAAATATCTAGG